TTTAAAGCTGATATTAGCCTGTCCTTAGGCCCCAGCTCCACTAGGCTCAGGCTAGAGTAAAGACAGCAGGACACATGGGGCTGAGGTTGCTGTGGGGATGGGGAGGGAGGGAAAGGAGGGGTAGAGTCTATGTGAAGCTTTTACCGAACTTACTCCTGACTAAATTACACACACTAAAATGGAAAATGGCTAATTTTGAAAAGAAATAACAAACCCAACTGTTGATAAGGGTGGAGTAATGACATCCCAGGAAGCGCAGATGGGAGAGAGCCATATGACAACTTTTCAGTGTATGTATAACCCATTCCTAACAGTTCTGTCCATGACATATCCCAACAGGAACGCACCCCTAAATGAACCAGTGAGCATATGTGAAAATATTTATGTCTGCATAATCCATACCATTTAAAAACTGGCAGCAAACCAGTGTCCAGCAGCTGCAGGATGGATAAATACTACAGGCCACATAATGGAACTTTTGTGTTCTAATGGGTATATGAGAAGGAAGTTGCAAAGTTATCACTCAAACATCAGCTTTTGGCTTCTTAGAACAAACACAATAGACACTTGTTTTTACAAAAGTGAGGTCAATCTGAATGAGCCATAGTGAAAATATTTAGGTATTCTAAACCCCCTTTATATCACCAATTAGGAAGTGTCCATTATGAATAATAGAGAACAGGCAGGGACAGATAACAAAGGGACTTGTTTGGACCACACGAGATGGCAGGGCATGCCGTTCTGATGCTTATCGGTGTCCTTTCCAAAGTGCGTACCCTGGGTCTTTCTGCTTGCCTTCAGCGTATTGACTTTGGAGTCGTCGAGCTTCTTTGCCTCGTTGTTTTCAAGATGGCTGCGGCGAGTCCAGGATCCAATCCTCACAACGGACATTCTGTGCCGGAAAGGAGACGCAGAGCCTGTGGCATCTCTATCTTTCATAAGGAAGGAAAGCTCCCCCACCTCGTGCTCCCCAGTATACCTCAGTGTCAGGACTGGGTCACATGACACCCCCACCTGAGGGAGCAGCAGCAGTGGAAGTGAGAAGTGAGGGCTTGCCTCTTAGAGTAAGGGATGGGATGGGCGGAGGGAAGTTCCGTGTGATTTCAGTTCGGATCACTACTAAAATGGGTTATCAAGGCAGCTGCAAAAACGTGTTCTCTCCGACATTGTATTATGTTTATTTCTCACCTTTTGTTAGACACAAACGTGCTTTTAGGCTTTGCGACTTTAAATGATTACAATGCATTCCTAGAAGTGGTTTGTCAAACGGAGCAGGACTACAATCAAAACTGCCAGAATGTTTCTTTACAAGCTCTCCTGCAGTGGAGGAAGGTGACCAAAGACTCCACTCCAAGATGTCAACTCCCTATGTCCTTCCTCCCCAGGCTTCTAGCTACTTGTCAGCTGCTATGTGGAAACATGGCTAATTCAAGGGAAACGATTGTTGTGTTTAAATATAGGCGGCATTTGTGAGACAAACATCTCACGATGCCCTTCCTATTCTGTCCATCTCAGGACAAGCATCCCCACCTTGTCTGAGTGTATTCACACTGTCTGTTACACACCAGATAGTCGCTTGGAAGCCATCTTGGTTACCAGACGGGATGCTGAAGAATCTCAGTGCTTGTAATCAAGTAACTCTTCTTTTATTTAATCAAGATGCCAGAGCATAAGAGTAGTGCTTTGAGAGATTCAGATAGGTGGGAGAAAGGCTAGGAAATACTTCCTTTAAATGGAAAGGCTTCTTTGAGAGATCACAGTCACATAAATTTTACTATAGGATATTGTTATAATTGCTCTATTTTATTATTTTTAATTTCTTACCATGACTAATTTATAGATTAAACTCCATAGGAATATCTACCTATCTATATTTATCTACCTATTTATCATCTATGTATCATCTATTTATCTAAGCTATCTATCTAATCTATGGTACAATTGAAGGCAGAATATGTCTTGAGGGATGTGGTGTTAGGCAATCTTTTCATCGTGTGAACATAATGAGTACACTATCACACACTGAGGTAGCTACAACGTCTCTAGGCACATAATTTCGTTTATGTGGCCCATTGTTAACTATATGGCTCATGGATTTACACAAGGGTTGCTATGCTCTCTGTGGTTCCTAGTACCCACGGAGGTCTGGTATCCTCCGTGGGTAAGAGGGTGCTATAACATTGTTATAAGACAGCTCATGACCCATAGCAGACAGCAATGTAAACTTGTGGATTGCTAATCAACTTCTAAAACACTCAAACAGGACAGAAATAAGTGTTAGTCTGCATTTGCTCGCAATCTGGTGACACTCGTGTCTCTCGTGTGAATGTGCCTGCTACTGGAGTCTGCTGCGGAGCAAAATTGCTTTTACAAGTTGCTTTACACGTGTGTGATGTGCATGTGTGTATGGTGTACACACGTTTGCACATGCGTAACAGGAAGTGGGAGACCAACCTCAGGAGTCTTCCTCCTTTGCTCTCTACCTTATTCTTTGAGGCAGGGTCTCTCAGTTGAACCACAAGCTCTCCAATGTAGTTAGTCAAGCTAGCCAGCTTGATCCATGGGCCCCCTGGTCTCCACCTTCTGGCTACCGGAATTAAAGGCAGGCTGCCGTGCCAATCTGGCAGTTATGTGGGTGCTAGGGTGTGTGAACACAGGTTTTCACTCTTGTGTGGCCGGTACTTTACCCGAGGATCCATCTCTCAGCCCTGAAAATAGTTTTTAAAGACTGTCATACGGAAACTCCTGGGCAGACCTCCTAATATTTTAGTTTATTTACTTCTATTTTTTTTATTTGATGAAAAGCATGTTGAGAGCAATAAGTTACAGCAGCGAGGGGAACATTCTTGATTTTTCTCCTAGCGTAAGTAAAAATGTGTCCCTTGAGGTTGTTTCACTGTTGTAGGATTTTCACTGTTGTTAATAACTAGCCTGTCAATAGAGTTTTTAGTTCCTCTGTGCTTCAATTTACATAACAGTTTTCTTTCAAATTCGTAAGCGGTTAGGTTTATTTTTAGTTGACTGTTATGATTAAATTCCTAATGTTATTACCTGTGGTCAGATTGTATGCGCTGTGCTTGAAACGTTTCTGCTTTGGGGAAATTATTGGGATTTTATTTATGGACCAGAATATGCTCAGTTTGAATAACAGTCGTGTTTAAAAATCCTATGCTCATCAGATAGAAAATTCAAATCTATTGAATTCATCCCATTGATACTAACACCCAAATTCTCCATATATCTTTATGTATTCATTCCATCAGTTTGTTTCTTTAAATCTTTGACACAGAACCTCACGTCAGCGAGGCTAGCCACAGCACTGTAGGGCCAGTAGACGAGACTGGATTTAACCCCTGGTCCTCCTGTTTCAGCCTTCTAAGCCCTAGGATTACAGATTGGAACCATCATGGCAGACTTTGTATCTTGAACTAATTTCCTTTAAGGTCAAAGTCTTGTACTTACACCACCAAGACTCCTTTGTGTGTGTGTGTGTGTGTGTGTGTGTGTGTGTGTGTGTGTGCATGGCATATAAGCAATAATCTATACACATGACTCTGTGTAGAGTCATGGCTCCTTCTGGCTTTTCATGTTTGTTTTAAAACTAAAATGCTTGGTTTTGTCCAGTTTATGACATTATTGCCTCTTGAATCCACCCCCCCCCTTCTTACTTTTATGCACTTAAAAATTGACACTTGATTTTTCTTCTTGTAGTGATTTGGTAGTTATTAATGTAACACCCTCTTTGCACATCCGTATCTTTTATGCTAATGAAGGAGGCCTTCCTGGGGGTTGCTCTGCTATCTTCTGCATCAACTGGAACTGCCTGGCAGATGTATTTAATCGTGCCTGCCAACCTGCCTCCTGTCAGACGCCTTCCTCCCCGACATTCTATGTCTCCCATCTTGACTCACTTTCACTTGGAAGTTATTTTCCCTGGGCTCCTGATTCCCCCCAGTTTGGAATTTCACGGTTATACTTATTTAAAAGGTCTCTGAACTTTGGTTCACATTGCTTTCTTTGCCTTGATACCATGCCCTAACCCAAACCCAAACCCAACCTCCATTCCTCACAGCCTTGGCTGTGTCTCCAACATCTGAGTGAGGGACAGAAATGCAAGGAAGACTTTCAGGAGGATAAATAATGCTCCTCACTGAGCTCCTATGCCACCCAGGAAGTGGGCATCTCACACAGGAATTCACACAGCACACACTCCCCTCTTTCCCATATGCGTAGATAGACTCTGAACTGCTCTGAGAAGGGGACTCTGGCTGATTCATTTATGTTTCCTCTGCCTGAACAGGGCCTCCACTTCACAGTAAATGCCAATAAATATTTGCTCAACAGATGTAAGCTGAGACTGACTCACCCCTCTGCCGCTCTGTGTTCTGATTAAGTGTCCCCTCCTCAGGACAACGACTTCTGCTTATCTAAGAGTTTGGGGTGAAAACTTGAGCAGATTCACACCCAGCTTTTAACTTTTGTGTTGCATTTTGCCAGCTCAAAACCTTTGCTTTAACTCAGTGAAATTGGATTGCTGTTAGAATGCTAATGTCCAGTTAGTCTTTATCATATGATAGTGACATATTTATTTTATAATTCTGCTTTATATTTTTATTTTAATTAAATAAAAATATTTAATTTACAATAATGCCTATAAGATACTACCCAACCCATGTCTTGAATAGGCAGGGGGATATTAGAAGATGGTAGTTATAGACAATCTAGACAAAACTTAATTGAGATATTTTGGTACACTAATTAATATTTATTTTGTTTCTATTGTCCAATTTGGGACAATTTCTGTCATGGGACTCCAGTATTAGATTGAAATGGCATTTAAGATATTACTCTGGTGAAGCAAAATTATAATGCTGCTTACTTGGAATAAGTTTATGAAAAGGTACAAAAATATTTTGACTGACATTTGTTCTATGGAATAGGCTCATAGCCCTACTTTAGTGCTGAAGACATTAACTATTTTCCAACTTTTTCCTCATTAGGCTGTGAAGTTGAGATTCTTGGTGTGAGACCAACTTACTGCCTGGAATACAAAAATGTTCCAACAGATATCAATTTTGCAAATGCAGTCAGCGACGCTCTTGACTCATTAAAGTAAGTGTCCCAAATTTTTAACCATAACATTGTGTGTGTGTGTGTGTGTGTGTGTGTGTGTGTGTGTGTGTGTGTACTGTAGATGTCGGTGTCTAAAGAGGACAAGAGAGAGGTCCCATGTAACTGGGGTTTCAGTTAGCTGTGAGTCACCTCACATGGGTTTGGGGACCAAACTTTGTTCCTGTGAAAGGGCAGTAACAAGCAACATGCACTCTTTTATGTTTTGTTTTTTTCAAGACAGGGTTTCTCTGTGTAGCCCTGGCTTTCCTGGAACTCACTCTGTACAGGAGGCTGGCCTTGAACACAGACATCCTCCTGCCTCCCGAGTGCTGGGTGAGATTAAAGATGTGTGTTATCACTGCCTCCCAGCCGCAGTGATTATTATTATCTGCTGGGCCAGCTCTCCATTCCTCCTCTTCCTTGTTTCTTGGATGAATAGCAAGTCCCAAAGCAGTTTAATAGCGCTGGACCTAGGTGAAACAAGGTCTCAGAGAGTTTCATGTAGCGATTATTATGTGGGGTACTAGTGGGTTGCAACTGTGAGCAATGCCACTGTTTGGAAATGGTGAATGGGATGCGAGAAAATGCCCAGGGTTTGAAGATCTCCTTTTTACCTTTTTAGACAATGGAGAAACCATGTATGTATCAGCATTTTCATAGTAATGATTTACTGAATAGCTACACCTCAGAGACATCAATGAGTATTTGTGTAAAGGAGGGATCTGTGACCAGATGAGCTTTGGAAAACTGCCTTTCAACACTCTTGTCTGAAATGTACAAACTACATGAGCATATTAGAACAAGGAAAAGTTTCTGTTTTTGTTTTTGTTTTTTTTTCCTTGCACGTGGAAGTGAGAAACATGCAAAGCTTACTTCCTGTCTTCTGAATAGTCTCAGGGCTGGGGGCTGGGGGGAGGGGGTCACTGATTACGTAAAGCTTCAAGTTAACTGGAAGCACTTGGATCATCATGATTCGGGGGGTGGGAGGGGCAGCTGGGGGCATGCTTTAGAAATCAGCAATGAGGAGTCTGAGCATGTTGGGGGCTGTCATTTCTAGAGCTGGACTTGAGGTCATCTTGGTTGCTGAATGGGTTTCCTAGGTAGAGTCAAAGCAGAAGACAGAAGCAGCGCATAGCTCCAGGCAGGTCCTTCATCCTTCCTAAAGAAAGAGCACAGTGAGGCAGTGAGAACCAGCCTTCCTAAACCTAGTGCATGACCCACTGGCACAGACCACAGTCACTGGCTATGATTACGACTGCCTCTCACACAGGTTACCAACTATGTCTTGAGCTCTAAGCTTGCCTTGGGTGACCAGTGGGGTGAGATTATCTCTAAGTAATCCAAGGATTTGTTTTGCGGTTAGGTCTTCCTCATGGTCTAAGGTTGCCTTTGTGAAGAGGTGACTATGACAGAAGCCATGCATCTTCCTTTCCTGCCCCAGCCTTCAAAATGAGTGTTGTTTTCTTCAAAGGAGAAAACAGGACCCCATTTTCATGCTGATTTTTAGACCACGCTACCTGTGTGAAACTTATAAAGAGGAGTCGTCGTTAGGTCACAAAATGTTTTAGCATGATTGGCGTGCTAAAAAGAAAATGACTTCAAAATATTAAACGCCAGGAAGAAACAAACTCATTCATGTAATTTGTTTCTGGTGGTATTTAGAAGGGGCAGAGTCTGAGGGAAGTTAACTTCTAATCGAATGTTCATCACGGGGTTTATATATCGTGTTTGTCCTATAATGCTGTCTGCTACCTCATCTGCCTTTTTCTCCCCTTGCACACAAGTCTAGGAAGCCACGCGCATGCAGAGCTGGTGTGTTGTGTTGCTGTTGGCTAATGCAAAGCAGACTTTGCATGGCAGACGAATGGGGCTGGAACTTTAGAGCTGCTTTATGCTTTCTCAGTGTGGTTTCCAGGGTACCCCCGACGCTATCCATCACTGTGCCCTACTGCCAAGAGACACGTGAGAGTTTGCATTGTAATTGTCACACAGATACCTCCAAGTAGCCCAGCACCCTTCTTATCGGTGTGTGTACATGTCTCGAATTTATCACGTGTTTGGGACTGAATGGACTCTCTCTGTACCCGGGTGGTCACAGGTAAAATAGCAGAGAGTACCATGTGGGCTCCATGCCAGTGCTGGTCAGTTTAGGCAGACATCCTTATTTTCATAACACCAAAATGCTAGGGGAATACAAATCAGGCTCTGTTTCCTTTAGACATGTATTGTCTTTGTGGGTTTTGTTTGTTTGTTTGTTTTGTTTTTCTTTATCATGTAACATGACAAAGCAATAGGACTCTGGGGAGATGCATCTCTATCTTGGAAACAGAGGGGATTTGTTTTTGATTATTGCTACAGTCCTGGTAGTATTGTGTGTGTGTGTGTGTGTGTGTGTGTGTGTGTGTGTGTGTGTGTATGCACGTGTGCTCACTACTTGATAAAGGGATTGGGCTTCTCTAGAAAGAAAAGGCAGCAAAGAACTGCAAGTCCATGGACTTGGTCTCAGGCTAGGTTTTTACATGGTGTGGTCTGGTGCCGCCCATTGCCCAGCTCATACAGTTTGTGTGGCAGGAAGTCTAGGGGTATGGCCTCCAACTCCACGCACTGCCATTCACGTAGGCCGCAGCCTAGATCGTGCCTCTGGATTTAGACTGTGTAGACCTGGGCAAGACTGGGCAAGGCTAATGCAACTGTCTTAGGGGGTCTTTATAAGGCCAAAGTTAACAGCACAGCTAGAAACAGCCTGTTTACATAGTAGGTAGAAAGATAATTTCTAACATGATCCCGGGCCTTTCTCCTTCTGGAATGACAAAGAAGAATGGAGAGGCCAACGCCTGCTCACCATCTCTAAGCAGAGTAGTATTTGGAATGAGAAAGCATGACCAGATGGTTCTGCCTGAGGAAGGCAGTGGGATGACCCTGGCCCTTCAGGAAAAAAAGAGGTTCTCTCTTCAACCTTCTTTCACTTCCTTCTCACAGAGCAGACTAAGGGCTAATGCTTGTGAGTCAGTACTTTTAGTCAAACAAAATCAAACCTGTTGTCTTCAGGAACGAAGTGGTGGACAGTGTTAGCCAGATTAGAACACTCTCGAGCAATCACGATATCACTCTGCACGAAGAGCTTGTGCATGAGTTTGCGCATATGGTGGAATGGACTCTAATTCGTGTGGCAGGTGTGTTTAGGCAAAGCTGCGGGGTGATTTAGCTTCCCATCAGACAGCCCTGCCTGGTGCAGCAAGTCTAGACAATAGAGGTCTTTTGGTTTAGCCCTATCTCAAATTCCTAATTATAACTTGAAGAACGTCTGGAAAATTCCTCACATCAGTGTTCAAACACACACACTGCTCTAATTTTGTATTATTCACAGAGCTTGACCACCTGTCAGAGATAATGGGACATGGGATAGATATGACAGAACTTACGAGAGGTTGTTTTGACCTTGACCATGCAGCCTTACCCAGGGACATTTCAGCAGGAGTCCAAGCTGATCAAGAACAGGCTTCACATGTCTGGGCAGGAAGAGATAAGCCAGCACCTGTGTTTGATCTGGGCATTGCTTTGCACTGTCATAGCCCTGCAAGATGCTACCTTTGAATATATATTTGCACAGAAGAAAGACAGAGGTGAAAGTTTACATTGTTAATTTTCATAGCACTGGGGCAAAGGGCTTTATTTACATTAACCTATTTCTATTGTTTATTATTATAATATTTTATTTTTATTAATTACAGTTTATTCCCTTTGTATCCCACCTGTAGCTCCCTCCATTTTCTCCTCCCAATCTCACCCTCCCTCCCTCTTCTCCACCCATACCCCTTCCCCAGTCCACTAATAGGGGAGGTCCCTGCTCCCCTTCCATCTGATCCTAGTCTATTAGGTCTCATCAGGACTGACTGCATTGTCTTCCTCTGTAGCCCGGCAAGGATGCATCCCCTTGAGGAAGAGGTGATAAAAGAGTAGGCCAATCAGTTTATGTCAGAGACAGTCCCTGTTCCCACTACTAGGGAACCCACTTGGACACTGAGCTGCCATGGGTTACATCTGTTCAAGGGTTCTAGGTTATCTCCATGAATGGTCCATGGTTGGAGTATCAATCTCAGAAAACACCCATGTGTCCAGATTTTTTGGTTCTGTTGCTCTCCTTGTGGAGCTCCTGTCCCCTCCAGGTCTTCCTATCTCCCCCTTCTTTCATAGGATTACCTGTACTCTGCCCAAAGTTTGGCTATGAGTCTCAACATCTGCTTTGATACTCTGCAGGGTATATAGTCTTTCAGAGGTCCTCTGTGGTAGGCTCCTGTCCTGTTTCCTGTTTTTTCCCTCTTTGGATGTCCATCCTCTTTACCTTTCTGAATGAGGATTGAGCCTCTTACCCAGAGTCCTCCTTCTTGTTTAGCTTCTTTAGGTGTACAGATTTTAGTATGTTTATCCTATATTTTATGTCTAGTATCCACTTATAAGTGTGTATATACCATATGTGTCTTTCTGCTTCTGGGTTACCTCACTCAGGACAATCTTTTCTAAGTCCCACCATTTGCCTGCAAATTTCATGATTTTCTTGTTTTTAATTGTTGAGTAGTATTCCATTGTGTAAATGAACCACAATTTCTGTTATATAGGTGCTCTTCCCATCTTCCCATCTGTCCTGGTTTGATTTTCTGTTGCTATAATAAATGCCACGGCCAAAAGCCACTTGAGGAGGACCGCATTTGCTTTAGTCTACAGTTATCATCCATCACCCAGAGAAAGAGGAATATTGCTCACTGGCTTGTTTTCTTGGCTTGCTCGGCGGCCTTTCTTGTGTAGTGCAGGCGCATTCACCGGTGTTGCCCATAGTGGGTGGGGCCTTCCTACATCAATCAGTGAACAAGAAAATGGCTCACAGACATGAGCATAGGCCAATGTGATTTTTTTCAACTCAGATTCCCTCTTCATGGATATGTCTAGGTCTGTGTCAAGTTGACAAAATTTAATTGTGACACCATCTCACAAGATCATCACTG